ATGTGGGAAAGAGGGTCACTGGAAGCGTGAGTGCCCTGATAAGAGATCAAACAAGCCACCGGACACTGCAAATATGGCAGAAGCAAAGCAACCCTTGATACTAACAGTGAGCACCGACTACAGGAAGGATGAATGGGTGATGGATTCCGGGTGTTCATTCCACATCACACCAGACAAGAGTTTTCTATTTGATCTGCAGGAATTCAAAGGAGGAAAAGTACTCATGGCAAATAACACTCACAGCAATGTTCAAGGAATTGGAAAAATCAAGATTTTGAATCCAGATGGTTCTATGGTTATTTTAACAGGAGTGAGATATATGCCTGACATGAGCAGAAATTTGATTTCTTATGGAATGCTGGAAACTGCAGGATGTCGATATGAAGGTAAAGATCTTGAAGTTAATTTCTTCAAAGATGATAAACGAATTCTCTCAGGAAGATATCATTTGGGATTATACTACTTACAAGGGACAGTTCTAAGGGGAGAAGTTAATCTATCACGACCGGAAAAGAATATGACTAATGTTTGGCATTCACGCCTCGGTCATATGAGTCTTAACAACATGTCTGAACTTGTCAAAAGGGGATTCATCACTGACAAAGATGTTAAGACGTTGGATTTCTGCGAACACTGTATTATTGGGAAGTCACACAAGCAGAGTTTTCCTAAGGCTAAACATGTGACTAATGGAATTCTTGAGTATGTTCACTCAGATTTATGGGGTTCTCCTTCTACACCAGATAGTCTTGCTGGAAATAAATATTTTGTGACATTTATTGATGATTTTTCTAAGAAGGTTTGGATTTATTTCTTGAAGACTAAAGATGAGGTATTTTCTAAGTTCAGAGAATGGAAGGCAGAAGTAGAAAACAAAACCAACAAGAAGGTCAAATACTTGAGAACTGACAATGGTCTAGAGTTTTGTAACAAGCAATTTGATGATTATTGTAAGAAGGTTGGAATCAGAAGACACAGGACCTGCACCTACACCCCACAACAGAATGGGGTTTCAGAGAGGATGAATAGAACCATCATGGACAAAGTAAGATGTATGTTAGCTGAATCTGGCCTAGACCAAAGTTTCTGGGCAGAAGCCGCATCTACAGCTATCTACCTTATTAACAGGTCACCTAACTCAACGCTGGGTTTCAAACTACCTGAGGAAGTTTGGTCAGGTTCTAAACCAGACTTGGGACACCTGAGAACGTTTGGATGTTCGGCCTATGTTCATATCACAGAGGAAAAGACAGGGCCTAGAGCAATAAAAGGGGTGTTCGTTGGATATCCTATGGGAACTAAGGGATACCGAGTCTGGATACCACAGGAAGGTCGATGCAGAACCAGCAGGAATGTAGTATTTAATGAGGACGAGCTATACAAGCACACTACAACACAAGAAGAAACTGGTTCACAAGCTACGAAAGACACCCATGTGAAAAAGGCTAAGAAAAGGGTATCTTTCAGTGATGACTTAATCAGGGGACCTTCAAGTGATACAGAAGATACCCCTGATCAAGGGGGAGAAGAGTCATCTACAGATTCAGATTCTTCTACAGAGAGCTATAACAGTCCTAGTGATCAGGAAGCTGAAAGTGGAAACAATGACACTGGGACAACAGACAGCTACATGTTAGCTCGAGATAGAGAAAGAAGACAGAACGTGAGACCTCCATCTCGGTATGAGGATGGGAACTTTGTAGCTTACGCGCTCAATGTCGTTGGGGATCTCGAAGTTGAAGAACCAAAATCATATTCTGAGGCTATGAAAAGCCGTCAAAGAAAGTTGTGGAGGCAAGCAGCTGAGGAGGAGATGGAATCTCATAGGAAGAACCGAACCTGGGATCTTATCGATCGACCAGCAAAGGCAAAGCTTGTAGGGTGTAGATGGCTATTCAAGCTAAAGCCTGGCATCCCAGGTGTGGAGGATAAGCGATACAAGGGCAGACTAGTTGCTAAAGGGTATTCGCAGACTGAAGGGGTTGACTACAATGAGATTTTCTCACCAGTTGTTAAGCACGTGTCTATCAGACTTATGCTCAGCATTGTGGTAAACTTAGACTTGGAGTTGGAACAGATGGATGTCAAGACTGCTTTTCTACATGGAAGTTTAGAAGAGAGGATCCTAATGGACCAGCCTGAGGGATTCATAAAGCCAGGAACAGAGAACAAAGTGTGCCTACTAAGGAAATCCCTGTATGGGCTAAAGCAATCTCCAAGAAGATGGAACCATCGGTTCAACAGCTTCATGAAGGATCAGTTGTTTGATCGCTGCAGCAAAGACCTATGCGTCTACATGAGAGATGTTAACACCGATAAAGCTATCTACTTACTCCTATACGTAGATGACATGCTAATAGCGTCTGGAAACAAAAGAGTGATCAAAGACCTAAAGGAAAAACTGAGTGGGGAATTTGAAATGAAGGACATGGGAAAGGCTTCAAGAATTCTTGGGATGGACATCACCCGAGATCGAGAAAAAGGAACACTAGTCCTATCTCAAAGCAAGTACATTGAAAAGGTCCTAAAGACATTTGGAATGCAGGATGCAAAACCCGTCATTACGCCTACTGCATCACATTTCAAGCTGAGAAGCCTAACAGAAGATGAGTGGAAGGTAGAAGCATCACAGATGGAAAGAATTCCCTATGCTAGTGCAGTGGGAAGCCTAATGTATGCTATGGTTGGCTCTAGACCTGACCTAGGATTTGCAGTGGGATATGTTTGTCGATTTATGAGTAAACCGGGAATGGAACATTGGAAAGCTGTTCAGTGGGTCTTAAGGTACTTAGCAGGAGCAGTGGATTCAAACTTAACGTTCAAGAAGAATTCTACACTACTAGTGGAAGGATACTCAGATTCGGATTATGCGACAGATATGGATAGGAGACGATCAGTGACAGGTTATGCATTTAAATTTGGTGGCAACACAGTATCATGGAAATCATGTTTACAATCAGTAGTAGCCCTATCAACTACAGAAGCAGAGTACATGGCAATGAACGAAGCAGCTAAGGAAGCAATGTGGTTAAAGGAAATTTGTTCAGAATTGGGTTTCAAACAACAAAGTATAAAACTCTACTGTGATTCACAAAGCGCTCTAGCCCTAGCAAGAAATCCAGTCAACCACGAGAAGACTAAGCACATAGCTACCAAATTCAATTTTATACGGGACCTAGTGGAGGCAGGTGACATTAACCTAAACAAGATTCACACTAATGTTAATCCTGCAGATTTTTTGACAAAGACGGTACCTGGTCAGAAGTTCCAGCTTTGCTGTGAGCTTTTGAACATTCACTGATAACGCAGAGAAAGCTCCAGGTGATTCAAGTTGACAGACTCCATCCATGCAAAACAAACAACCAAATAGACGGGGTTAGTGTTTAAGGCAGAGAAGAAGTGTCAACAGGGAATGGTGGTAGAAATAAATCACCTGGAGTATAATATGAATCGGGTATGATACTCGATTCCGGTGGAGTCATTGGTACCATTCGACGAAGTGGTTGTCTGGCAAGGAGAGTAAGACAACTGAGGGTTAGTAAACAAGCCCAAGAAACATCTGAGAAAGAAAAGGGTCTGTATGCGGTCAGGAGCTTACCATCATAACAACGACGCTGTGGCAGTTGATTCGAGAAACAGATGTCAAGTTCCCATCCAAACGGCAACTCGTCATAGAGGATATAGGTGACGCAGTTGGAGTCGTTTCCTGAGACATCAAAACTGGGTTAGATCTACAGAAGACCTAACATATGCAGAATGAGAGAGAAAGGTCCTCACTTAACTCACAGCAGAGGTGGAGTGTGGTGCTAAAGCTCGGGCTCTGGAAAGACAGAGTATGTAGAAGGTCAGTCACGATGGCAGATGACGACGGTAACCGCCTACGAAGACATGCAATGGAGTCAAACACAAAGTCAGCAAAACAATCACAAGTTTCTCTTAATACCCTTAACAGATGATCCTGACTTCTTAGGAACAGAAGGAGTTAGATGTACCTGAGGATAGTGAAAGAGGAAGGTGATGGGGTCACGATTGACGCAGCTGACTATCGCTCACGGAGAAGAGAAGGCACAACGCCATCGAGGCGGAGATGTCGAGGCCATCTCCAACGGAGCGACGGTTGTGAGATGATACAACCAGAGATCTAGCTCGTTGGAACTGAATCCATGCCGGTGGAGAAGGTTCGCGAGAGAGAGAGAAGGAAGGAAGAGAGAGAGTCAAAATGAAAAGGGGACTTTCGATATTCCCAAAGAGACAAAGAGACAAGATGGTGGTCTGTCGGCAGAAGGAGTATAGGTGAGACAAATGGGCTTTATGAAAACGGTGGAGATTTGTGAATGGGTTTTGACTAAAGCCCATATTCGTCATGGGCCTTTACACTTGGTGAATTTGTGCTGGACTAGAATCAGCCCTAAAGCCCACTGCAGTATACTTCACCCTACAATCATATATATAACATGAGTGAGTATGTATGATCAGGTTACGGCAGCAAATAGGAAACATCAGGGTTTACAGCAACTGGGATCAGATCAGGATATTAAGCAAGAGACAACAATACAAGATACATAGCTTAGGCTTAAGTCTATTTATCTAAGGGCTTTGTTGTGTTTCTCTAGCTTGGAGTGTTTGATTCGTTGTAAACAATCTAGCTCACTATTTGGTGGTGCTAGTGTCTCTTTGATCTAGTGAAGTTTGGGAGCAGGAGTTCTCCCACGAGACGTACCGGTTTGAGGCCGGGAACTCGTTAAATTGACTGTGCATTTACTTTCAGTTTATAGCTAGGTCAAAGTATCTTGGCACCTAAGTAACCATAACCTAATAATCTCCAACAGTAAACCAAACCGAAACGAAACAAAACAAATTCCTCAATAAGGGTCTCGCTATGTCCCGATGCATAGATGAGATAACGATCCACAAATAATATTTCATATTTTTCATCAAAAAGGTAATTTCTTTTATTTATTTTGTTTTCATCTTTAAGGTACTTCTTCTTCTTCACAGACATAACCCATTTCAGACATCTTTACAACTTTCTTTTCTTTCTCATCTGTACCTTCTATTTCAGACAAACAAACCTGCAACAAACTTCAGTTTATAAAAAGGGAATCTTATAACACCACTTGAGTTAAGGAATCTCAGAAGAATCTCTCTACCTTGTGAGTTCTTTTTTCTTTTTTTTTGGTTTTCTCCGCCCTTCAAATTTATCATCTAAATCTTTAAAGGTTTGATCTTTCATTGTGGGTTTTAATCAGTATCTCTTATGCTATAATGAGATTGAGTTTTACTTAGTTTGACCCGCTTGAAGGAAAAAGTTGTGTGTTTTTTTTTAATAACTTTATTTCTGTCATCATGAATTAGATTTAGCTATAGATCTTGATCTTCTCAACCTTCTTTGTTTGTGAAAATGAATTCTTTGTTGTTATTTTTTTTCAGATGGTGCTTCATTGATATTTTGAAAGCAGCTTGCATATCTCAATGGAAGATAGTTTTCTTCAATCTGAGAACACAGTTATGGACACTGAGTTCATGGATGGGTTGTTACTAGATGGTTGTTGGTTAGAGACAACAGATGGATCTGAGTTTCTCAACTTAACTCCTTCAACCCCTTTTGATCCATCTTCCTTCATGTGGTCTCCACCTCAAGACACGTCAGCAATCTGCACATCAGGAGTAGTATCCCAAACCTTTGGTCAGGATTGTGCAGATGAGTTTCAGTGGAACAAAAGGTGGTGGATAGGACCAGGAGGTGGTGCCTCTTCAGTTACTGAGAGATTGGTTCGAGCTGTTGAACACATTAAAGATTACACAACCGAGAGAGGCTCCCTAATACAGTTGTGGGTTCCTGTTAATAGAGGTGGTAAGAGAGTTTTGACCACTAAGGAACAACCGTTTAGCCACGATCCGAGTTGTCAGAGACTTGCAAACTATAGAGAGATCTCTGTGAACTATCACTTCTCTGCTGAGCAAGATGACTCAAAGGCCTTAGCTGGTTTGCCTGGAAGGGTTTTCTTGGGGAAGCTTCCTGAGTGGACTCCTGATGTTAGGTTTTTCAAGAGTGAGGAGTATCCTAGAGTCCAGCATGCTCAGGACTGTGATGTCCGTGGAACACTAGCGATTCCGGTGTTTGAGCAAGGGAGTAAGATTTGCTTGGGTGTTATTGAGGTTGTGATGACTACTGAGATGGTTAAACTAAAACCTGAGCTTGAAAGTATCTGCAGAGCACTTCAGGCAGTTGATCTTAGGAGCACTGAACTTCCTGTTCCGACTTCTCTAAAGGTAAGCAAAAGATACTACACAAGTTCTTTAAGTTCATGTTTTGGTACTAACCAAATCAAATTTTTTAAAATTCAATTTATACGATTCAAATCGGTTTAGACTATTCTAAAATGGTTTAAATTGTAATCATCTAAATTAGTGTAAATCTGTTAAATTAAGTAATAATATTAGTTCAAATCTATAAATTTGTCTATTTTTTTCTGTTTTGTAACTCTAATCTAAACCAAAAACTAAAATATCTTATATAAATATATAAAAATATATCCAAAACAAATGAATATTTCGTTATAATGCCCGAATGATACACCTAGTAGCTAGTTCTCTATAAAAATCCGAGTTACCGCCTAGTGATTTCTTGAACATTACTATAAACCATTTTGTTTGGTCTTTTATTTCAGGGATGTGACTTATCCTATAAAGCTGCATTACCAGAAATCAGAAACCTCTTGAGATGTGCTTGTGAGACTCATAAACTACCTTTAGCTCAGACATGGGTCTCTTGTCTCCAACAAAACAAAAGCGGGTGCCGTCACAACGACGAGAACTACATCCATTGCGTGTCAACCATTGATGATGCTTGCTACGTTGGTGATCCAACCGTCCGTGAGTTCCATGAAGCTTGCTCTGAGCATCATCTCTTGAAAGGCCAAGGAGTGGCAGGACAAGCCTTCTTGACCAACGGTCCTTGCTTTTCCCCTGATGTCTCTAACTACAAGAAGTCAGAGTACCCTCTCTCTCACCATGCTAATATGTACGGTTTACATGGCGCTGTTGCTATACGCCTGCGCTGCATCCACACTGGCTCTGCTGATTTCGTATTGGAGTTCTTTTTGCCTAAGGACTGTGATAATTTAGAGGAGCAGAGGAAAATGTTGAATGCTCTTTCTACCATTATGGCTCATGTGCCTAGAAGCTTGAGGACTGTTACGGATAAGGAGCTAGAAGAAGAGAGTGAAGTGATAGAGAGGGAGGAGATAGTAACGCCAAAGATAGAGAACGCACAGGAGATACATCATCAGGGTCTTGGAATGGTATTTGATGGGGGAGACAAGCCAAGTGATGGGTTTGGTTTGAAAAGAAGTTTTGATTACACCAGAGAGGCTCATATCAATGAGAGCAGCACTTTCACAAGTGGTGGTTTCAGTAGTATGGCTGAGAAAAAACGTACAAAAGCGGATAAAACCATCACGTTGGATGTTCTTAGACAGTATTTTGCAGGGAGTCTGAAAGATGCAGCCAAGAGTATTGGTGGTAAGAAGAAGCATTGCTTATATTGTTTTTTTGATTCAGTTTTGTCTGAATGTCCTAATCTTGATCTCTTGTTTTTCAGTTTGTCCAACGACGTTGAAGAGGATATGCAGGCAACATGGTATACAGAGATGGCCATCAAGAAAGATAAAGAAAGTGGGACATTCTCTACAAAAGATCCAACGAGTGATTGATTCTGTTGAAGGTGTTTCAGGTCCTCTTCCTATAGGCTCCTTTTACGCGAACTTCCCCAACTTAGAACCATCCCAACAAGCTAAAACCTCACCTCCTCCTCCTCCACCGTTACAGCTTTCAAAGTCACCTGTTTCCCAATACAGTCACAGTTCAAGCTCTAGCCAATGTTGTTCCAGCGAAACCCAACTAAACAGCAGCGCAACAGCCCATCCTTCTCAACCTGAAACTTTCAAGAAGGTGAGCAGCGAAATCGATCTTCAGAGTTCAAGTCTTGACCAGACAGTACTGACTCTCTCTAGTTTAGAAAACATCCCTCATGGCACCAACTTGTTATCATCATCATCTCAAGATGATGACTCTCTGAGGATTAAAGTTAGCTACGGAGAAGAGAAGATCAGGTTCAGGATGAAGAACTCACGGAGGCTAAGTGATCTACTGTGGGAGATAGGGAAGAGGTTTAGCATAGAGGATATGAGCAGGTATGATCTAAAGTACTTAGATGAAGACAATGAATGGGTTTTGTTGACATGTGATGAAGATGTAGAAGAGTGTGTAGATGTTTGCAGAACCACACCGAGTCATACCATTAAGCTTCTGCTTCATGCTTCTTCTCATCTTTTGCCTGAACGTTCTTCACCTACAGGTTACACTTTATGGCAATGACTATAAAGAAGAGTTTATAGGACATGGCACAAAAGCTTGTGCCATTGTGTTCTGTTATAATTGTTCATAAAATTTAAATGTTGTGCTTCTTTTTTTTTGTTGGAAAGGATTGTTAGGAGATGCTTTGTGTTTTGTTTTATAAAACGCAGCAGAGAGAAGAATAACATGTAAAGATCCTTTCTTCCTAAGATATTGAAGATGTTTTTTTTCTTCTGTAATTCCTTTGTCAAATGTAGATATATTAAAGAAGTAAACTAATTTGTTTCTATAATTGCCATGTTCATATACAAAAACAAGTGTAAAAAAGCAAAGAAAAGACTATTTTAACAAAACACAAGACTGAGAATCTTAGGGTAATAGGGTCTGAGTACATGTGAAAAAACTGCGGTTTTAATAGTAACAAAAAAATTGTATAGATAACAAAAATGTATAAACAGTAGTAAACAAATAATGTATATTCATTCAAGTTGCAAGAAAGAAAGTGATGATAATACTTGCCTTTCGTTTCATCTTCTTTTTATGGCCAAGTTTTAAGAACTTAAATCATATTGGGAAAATACTAGAAAATGAAAACTACAATCTATTCTACAGCTTGCGAGACAGACTCTTGTCATTTTCATTTTCTTCTTTTTTTTCTCTTTTACTGCAAAAATATGGATGTTGCAACAATCTGTACACTAGAGACTTGTCCCATATATTTTCATGTCACAACAAATAGGCAGGCCATGGCCATGACCTTTCCACAAGTGATTTTCCATACCAGAAAACACATGGCTGAGATAGCCTTTGGAAAATGCCCTCTTCTTTGTCTACTCCTTTGTTTTCCAAAAGATTTATTCATCTCCTCAGAGCTGTAATGCCAGATCCGGATGCTGAGACGAGGACGAACTAGTCTGCTGATTGGCCCCGGGAGAGTTTGGTGATACAATCCTAGCGTTAAGGTCCGGTGGAAACCGGTGAAACTCCTGTTTATTATAAGGAAACAACAACCCTTGTTGTTGCGAGCCTGGTATTGCCTCGTTAGTTAAGTTTGCTTGTTGCTGGCTCGTGACTCCGATCATCGGACTTGGACTATGACTGAATCCACTGAAACCGCGGTTGCTGCTCTCAGGTTTGATCAGCGGTCCTCCCTGGCGAGAGGAGGACGATGATGGGAACTCGGTTTCTCTATTCAAGACACGAGCAGCAGGTGCAGTCTCTTCGATTCCTTGAGAAGAAGAATGTCTGTTTCCTATGAAAGCGCTCGAGACTGAAGCGGTAGGAGACAGGATTCTGTTTGAATGATCATCAGACGGTAAGTCATTAGAAAACTTTTGTTTTCCCAGGGATGGCATTACTACGGTTTGTTTTTGAGGATCATCCTCTTCAGTTCCTGCTGGGTTTTCTCCAACCCAACCTTGACCAAATTTAACTCCAGAGGGCAACGTGGTTCCGATTCTCTTTGATGCAATTTTCCAAGCAACAGGACCGAGATTTGCAGCGTATCTTGCTAGACTCCTTGCGTAACCGTACTCAGTGTTCAGGCCAACCTAATGAATAGGGAAAACAAATAGTCAGGCTCTTGTTTCACCATACAGAAGGATATAATATGATTGGCAAATAGCGTACTGGAATCAACTGTTTTAACTCGTCTTCAAGCGTTGTCAAAACTGAAGGCTCCTGTGTAGAAGCGGGTAGGTGGTTGTATGTATCGCGTCTGTTTTCATCGACATTGAAATGTTTCATCCCATACTTGTTAACTGCCTTCACAACCGAAGCTGCAGAAAAACCAAATAAGATTAAGATGATTTATATTTGGCCAACAAAAGTCTGAAAGAAGGTAGAGAGCAAATGGAGAGTTTTTTTACGTGGAAACTCATTCTCCCAATCTACAGACCAGCCGCTTTGGGTTTCACTGTTATGATTGATCCTAACAGATGTTTCTGCTTGACGGAATTTGTTTGAAGGAGGAGTCTTTCTTAGATTGTAAGAACCAGGAATAAGCGCATCAGCTGAAATTTCAGAAGCAGTACGGTCAAGCGAAGATGGTTCAGGCTGTTTCTTTGGCGGACGGCCTCTTCTGGGAACTTTTGGCTGCTGCTGCTGCTGCTGTTGTTCTTGTTGGCTTTGTGGTTCTTCGTCGTCACTGTCTTGCCTTAAATTCTCGAAGTCCTTCTTAGCCAGTTCTTGTATAGCCCGTGCCTATAAGGACGCACTATTTTCAGAAACATGGAACCATGATAATCAAAGAAAAAAAAAAGATAAAGATTAGGACATACCTGTCGATAATATACAGTGTCTGATGAATTGTATTCCATTGCATTTGAACAAATTAAAAACACATCTCCCTGCAAAAAGAGCAGGCAGAAGATACTTGTCAGAAAAAGAATACAAAAGAGCTGTTCCAACACCAATCTCTCCACCCGAATTTCACATGTAATCAATCTAGGAGGCAAATACGAATCTAAACAGATTAATAGTTACTACGAGTGGAACACAAGTTTTAAAACAGCCTTAGGTCTGCACCCTACAATACATATAGCATGCACGCCAAACAACATCAAGCAATGGCTCTTCTCAGTAGCTACCAGAGAAACTTTATCACAACCAGAAGACGAACTAACTAACTCGAAGGAATCAAACTATCAGGGAGAGGACCCCTAATAAAAGGGTTAGGGAGAAGTAAGTATCTAGGAGTCGTCCAATCCTCTCAAGAGTTCAACACTGACCTCAAATTGTTCAAAACTGGCATAAGCCCCAGAGTCTAATTTCTTCCGCACTGTGCTAAAGTCCATTGGATTGGTGATAATCTCATGATAATCAGGAAGCTGTAACACACACACGAAACAAATATTAGACAAACAGAACATTAATGAGCAATAACATGAACAAAAGGGAGAAGAAGACAATCACCTCCTCAGGATCAACTGGATCTGAGTAAACCCCATAAGTATCTTTCCTACAAGTGTTTTGTAAAACAACATCGATCAAATTAAAAGCATCAAAACCCAGCTTCAACCGGAATACAAAATAACGAGACTATGTCATCAGAGAGAAAGGAAAACGAAGATACTTTTGAAGTCTATCGAGGATGAACACCAACAACTTTTTGTCTGGCAAAGGAGTAGTGGGGCCGGACTCCACGGGAGACCCTGTCCACATGTAAATGCAAGTATTAAAATTATTAATCATCAGCAAAAATCTCCCCTTTTTATCCTCGTACGTACGAATCATCCACAAAAAAATTAAATAAACGAAATTAAAAAGAGGGTCTTTATACGGTACCTTGCGGAATGTCTGTCGCTTTCGAAGCCTTTTCTCCCTGCAGATAATTATCAAACAGATTATCATCATCATCATCATCAATTCCAAGAATCAGTTAAAAAGGTAAGCTTTTCCCATAATAAAACAAGTGGATGTGCTCATGTTTATGCAAAGAACCGAACAAGACGCAGAGTACAAGTGAAAGTAGACACATGGTGGTTTCAGTGCAGAAGCATCTTTAATTCGATTAAATACCATAAATCAGAGAATTTTAAATATATAATAAAAACTGATAAACACACATAAAAAGGAAAATAATTAACCGAAAAGCTGAAGTACGAATTATCCACCAATCAAAATCAAGACACAGTCAAACTCATCTCTTTAAGGACAAGACGAACACTCACAACACTAACGCGCGAAATCCCAACTATATTTATTTAAACCTAATTTCTCAGATTTTACTCCTTTTTCAAAACTAAAATTAAATTCAATAGTTTTAACCACTCGAATTAGAAAGCGAACCGTGAATCCAGATCCGCCGCCGCCGATCTTCCGTCTATTAACGGAACCCTCGGGAGCCTCGTCGCGGTTCAGATCGGACCCGCCCGATTGAGAATTAGGAGAATGTCGATGAGAGTGGGAGTTTAATCCGTGCAAGAGCCTGTGTTTCTTCTCCCGCCTCTCGTCCTCGTCGTCTTCGTCTTTGATCCAAGGGGAACCGGAAGAGGAAACTCCGTTGGGATTAGGGTTCCGGCGCTTGGATCGGGAGGTGGGAGAATTAGGGTTTTTGGAACCGGATCTAGGGTCATCGTTATTGTTGTTTCGATGTTGTTGTTGCTGTTGTTTGATAGCTCGCTTCTGAAGGTCAAGAAGAGATGGCCTCCCTTTCTTCTTCTTCTTCGTCATTGTATCAGCTACCTCACCCATTCTCTCTCTCTCTCTCCTCTCTTCTTCCTTTCTCTCTCCTCTTCTTTTCTCCTATACAGGCGTTTGGTTTCGTGTTTTCTTACGTTTTTTTTTTCTTGAAAATTAAAAAATTGTGAAATTAAAACTCTTGCTTGGGTGAACTCGCACGTGCCGAAAGGGTAATGTAACCTAAGTGGGCTGTATTTGGGCATGAACCGGGCCTGAGGACGGTATGTAACTTAAATGGGCTATATTTGGGCCTGAGGACGGTTTTCTGTTATGTGCGTCAGTGTGTGTCTTTTATGACATGCTCATTGTTGTGCGCGCTAAACACCTTTTCTGAAATTGAGAGGGAACTCTCTCTCTAATCTTCTATTGTTGTAAATTGAGTCATATGCTTGTTAGTAAAGCTGGAGCTCATCGAAGAAGAAGTTCAAAATGGAAATATCTTTCTGTTATTCATTTAATGATCTAACGTCTTACATTATATAGTATTGATATCCGGTTTATACATATACCGAGATTCAATCTAATAGCAAACCAAACTAAACCAAACTCTATTCAACACTCAATATCTAATATTCCCCCTCAAGATGACGAATAAATGGAATGCATAGACATCTTGCCAATGAGTGTGTTGAACTGAGCCGGAAAGAGAGGTTTGGTGAATACATCAGCAAGCTGACTAGCAGTACCCACGTGAAGCGTTTTGATCAAACCACTGCATATACGATCACGGACTTGATGACAATCCAGTTCCACATGTTTAGTTCTCTCATGGAAAACTGGATTGTTTGCAATATGAATAGCAGCCGTTGAATCACAAAAGAAAGCTATAGGCTTGTCTTGTGGTGCCTGCAGTTCCCGGCAAAGATTAGTGATCCAAATGACCTCTTTAACCGCAACAGACATTGTTCGATATTCGGACTCTGCAGAAGAATGAGAGACCACATCTTGCTTCTTCGATTTCCAAGAAATGAGAGAGGGACCAAGAAACATACAAAAGCCAGAGGTTGACCTTCGTGTATCAAGGCAAGATCCCCAATCAGCGTCAGTATAAGTCTTCAGTGTCAAGTCAGAAACAGCAGAGTAGAACAACCCATGACCAACCGTACCTTTGAGATAATGTAAGACGCGGTAAACAGCCTTGAGTTGAGCATTCTGCGGAGACGAAGTAAATTGACACAATTTGTTCACAACAAAGGTAATGTCCGGACGTGTAATAGTGAGATACATTAACCATCCAACCATTCTGCGATACAGAGTAGGATCATCTAGAATAGGTTGATCCTTATCATAGAAGAGCTTAGCGTTGGGATCCATTGGAACAGAAGCAGGTTTGCAAGCCATCAAACCAGTTTCCTCCAACAGTTCAAGAACATATTTGCGTTGGCAAATAGAAATCCCTTTGCTAGAACGAGCTATCTCAAGTCCGAGAAAAAATTTCAAAGGACCAAGATCACGGAGCTTGAACACCTCCTGTAGATTCTTCTTCAATTGATCTACCTCGGCATCATCATTACTCGCAATAACAATGTCGTCTACGTAGACCAAAATAGCCACATACTTCCCATTAATGTTCTTGATGAACAATGTATGATCAGTATGTGATTTAGAAAATCCAAGAGAAAGGAGAATGGAACTGAATTTGAGAAACCACTGCCTAGATGCTTGTTTAAGGCCATATAAGGATTTCTTCAGCTTACAAACATCATTTGATGGCAGTGATTCCCCCTGTTTTGGTGTGTATCCCGGAGGCAACTTCATATAAATCTCTTCATGTAAGTCACCATTGAGAAACGCATTTGATATGTCAAGCTGAGTAAGACTCCAGTTCTTAGCAGCAGAGACAGCTAGAAGCGTTTTCACCGTGGTCATCTTAGCAACAGGGGAAAAAGTATCAATGAAATCGATTCCCTCTTGTTGAGTGTAACCCTTGGCCACTAACCTCGCTTTATAACGTGCCAACGTGCCATCTGCATTCAGCTTGACCTTATAAACCCATTTGCACCCAATAGAATGTTTCCCTGGAGGCAATGAAACGATATCCCAAGTATCCGTGCTTTCCAGAGCCAAAATTTCTTCATTCATCGCCTGTAACCACTCATCAAACTTCTTGGCTTGCGTAAATGAAGCAGGCTCAATGTGTTTAGACAAAGCACAAATATATGTTTCATAGCTTGCAGAGAGTTTAGCAAATGTAACATAAGCAGCAAGAGGATAAGGGATATCTGTATCAGTAAGATTGCAGTAATACTCACTGAGACGTCCAGGAGGTTTTCTGACTCTTTTCGACGTATCACTAGCAACATAAATTCCAGGTGTAGTCAAGACTTCTTGAGGTATAACAGAGGAATCCTGAGGAAAAGTCATATGTGGAACCATAGTCATCCAATCAGTATTTAAGAAATCAGTAGAATAAACTGGATTCTCTTCAGCAAAAGGAAAAATTTCCTCATGGAAGGTGACATTCCGAGAAATGTGAACCTTGTTGCTCTCAAGATCTAACAACTTGTAGCCTCTGTAGCCGGAAGGATATCCAAGGAAAACACAGGGCCGAGATCTTGGTTGAAACTTCTGTCTTCCTTTAGAAGATGTAGACATGTAAGCTAAACAATCAAAAACCTTGAGATCAGAATAAATCACCTTCTTGGATGTCAAAAGTTCAAAAGGTGTTTTATTCTTCAGGCGTGGAGTAGGAAGACGATTGATTAGAAAGACCGCTGTCAAGACACAATCACCCCAGTAAGCTAAAGGGACTTGTGAATGAAACATCAACGATCGAGCTACGTTCAGTATATGTTGGTGCTTCCTCTCCACAACAGAGTTTTGCTCAGGCGTCTCTGGACAGGAGTGATAAGCCAGAATCCCTTTCTTCTTGAACAAAACAGTGAAACGAAGCTCTGGTGCGTTATCAGAACGAACCCCTTTTACCACTGCTCTGTATTGAGTCTCAACCATCTGCAGAAACTCAGGAAAAACCGTGATAACTTCATCCTTACTCTTGAGAAGATATAACCAAGTAACTCGTGTGTGATCATCAACAATCGTGAGAAAGTAACGATATCCTTCAGGAGTAGGTTCAGAAAAGGGTCCCCACACATCTATATGCAGCATTTCAAATGGTTGATCACATATATTATTATGAGAAATATATGGGAGATGTTTCTGCTTTGCGAGATGACAAACTGAACAATGTTTCATTTTATTCAACTCTTTTAAACCAAGAACAGAACTCAGAGAGTCAGTTTTAGACAAGGCAGGGTGTCCTAGTCTATTGTGCCACAAGGTAGAATCAGCAACAATATTGGAGCAGAAAACTAAATCCGTATGATCTTCTATGTTTGATGAATCAGGAAGAGATGTTGTATCCAGCACGTAGAGGTTTGCAATAGCTTCACCCAGACCAATCATCAGCCCCTTGGTATGATCATGTATCATACAAGAAGATCCATCAAACATTATGCGATAGCCCAAATCTTTAGTCACTTGGCTCACACTGATCAAGCTCAAACGAAACACAGGGATATAGAGAACGTTATTGAGAACCAGATGTCGACTAAGACGAACACTGCCAACTCCCTCAATATTAACACCCAATCCAGTAGGAAGAGTAACTGAGGCATTTTGAGTAACAGATAATGACTCAAAACGGCTCTTATCACAGGTAACATGATGCGTAGCACCACTGTCAACAATCCACGAAGATGATCCCAAAACACTACTGGTTGTCTGTAAGATAGCTACAAAACGAAGTGTAGAGGAAGAATAGGTCATACCAGGTAGAGCAGTAATGGTAGCACCTGACGAGGAAGCAACATATTGAGTATTGAGAGGCTGCAACTTCGAGTTGAAGTACGCAATGACACCCTGAATTTGATCTTTAATCAAGCTATTGACCATTGTTGAAATGTTCTGACTGGTGACAGCAGAACCATCAAGCGTAAGCTGAGCTACCACTGGCTTTGTTGCAGTAGGAGGCTTCTCTGTCTTGTTCTTGTGCTTATGCTTGAAGTCAATAGGATAACCATGAATCTTATAGCAAGTATCAGTAGTATGCCCAATGTAACCACAGTGAGTACAAGTAGGCTTTTGTTGTTTCTGATTCGGATAGGTTGATTGAGTCGCATAAACCACAGCAGGAACTTGTGAAGTAGATGATACCTGAAATGCAGAAGCATTTGGGAGAGAACTGATACTCCTCTGGTTGAAATCCTGATCCAGAAGGTTGTATATCTCAGATAGATCAGGTACATTCTTCTTCATAATGATCTGACTCCTGACAGTGGCATATGACTCGTTCAAGCCCGCTAAGAACTTAACAATTTTAGATTGTTCAGCTTTCTTGTTCATCGCTTTACAGCAATCACAGTTGTGACAAGATTCAACACAATTAGCACTATCAAGCTCATCCCATAAAGTTTTCAGAGTGGTATAATACGTAGCAAGATCCGTAGAGCCCTGCTGCAACGACCAGATCTGTTGAGAGAGTTGATAGGAACGCGGAAGATTTGTGATGTGGAATCTGGTGGAGAGATCCTTCCAAATTTCCGAAGCATCATTGAATCTCAGAATACTTTTGTAGATCTGCTTTGAAACAGAATTTAGAATCCAAGATTTCACCATAGAGTTGCAACGAGACCAGATCCTGAAGCTAGGATGAGAATCACTTGGCCTAGCTAATGATCCATCTATAAACGCAGATTTGTTCTTCGCATCTAACGCAATAGTCATAGCTATACACCAATTATCGTAATTCGTACCATCTAGTTCTTCAGAGATAACTTTTAGACATGGATTATCGCCGTTTGTGAGGTAGTAGGGAGAGTGAATGTTGTCGTACGATTCCGTTGGAGCGGTCGGAGAACTCGGCGCTGAATCATCGCGATTGACAGATCTTCGCGCCGATGACGCTGCTCGAACAGGACGACGACCCACACGCTTCGCGATCACCATGACGGAGATTAGAACGGAAAACGTGAATAGAATCGGGTGAGGGATTAGCCTCACCGCTCTGATAC